TATATATCTTATTTCAGTTTGGCTGAAATAAGAAAGTTATATAGGCTACACACCTGATGGCTTGAGGGTGATGATGGGATAATCTTTAAGCATTATCTCACTCTGCCTGGTTTATGGGTTCACACACCTGATCTGTCACTGAACTACAGCAGGTCTCTTCCTTTAAATAATCTAAAACCATCACAGACTTTGACCAGCAAATAAAGCCTCCTCTCATTCACACTGACCCCAGATCTGTAAAGACCACCGCTAACACAATAGACGCATTTGTCCTGGAAACTACGGTTTATTACCTGTTTGTCCATATACCGTCTACAATGACCTGGAAACAATACGAACACACATTCAATCTGAGCTGAGGTTGTGTGAGAGAAACCGACGGGAGGTTTGCAAATAGACAGAGAAAATAACAAAATAACGACACCAAAATAAACCCGTTAAAAAGTAGTCTGTCTAAGGTAGCTGACAGGAACACTAAATGATAAAGATACAAAGGGTGTAATTGTCTTTTAACATGCGTATTGTGCCTTACCCGAAATCATCGTCCATGGATTTGAAGAAAAATTTGTAGTTGGGTTTATTGAGGACATTTTTGAAGTCGGCGAGAGTGACGGTCTCGGCAGGAATGGGTATTTTGATGAGGTAGGGAGTCTCCTGCTCGTCGAGGTGATAGATGATCTTGGTCTCCGCCATGGCGGGCCGCTGCTGAGGGAAAGGCCGCACGCATCAGCCCCACAGCGGCGTGCGACTCTCGCGTCCACCGCTGAACGCTCGAGCGTTATAAAGCGTTATACGTTACTCACTCTCAACCTCCGCGCGCTCTCTTCACTCAGCGACAATAAAACCCGACAGCGCAGTATCCTTGCGGTCGTTTGTCACACAAATCAATCTAATAGTATAATATGTATAATAGACAGTATATCCTTTTAAAGTGAAGCGAAAGAATAGTACGACTACACGTCGGTCTTCTATGGGCTCCCTATGGATACTGTTGCTTTTTCCTCTCTCCTCTGTCCTTTGGAAACAACTGTCTGTCGGCCGATGTGAGATAGCCCCTCCTATCGATTCACCACTGCGCTCCCTCTACAGGACGAGTTATAAAATATTATAGGCTACTGTTCTTTGGCTGCTGGCTTATAAATGTATTTGAACTTCGGCTATGGGAAAGACGCATCTTGATATTACGCAAGGAGCCGTTAAGTTGTTGCTGCTGCTGCATATAATCACTCAATAGAACAACTTGCCTTTTTTGACTGCAAACTAAATAGGGTTGGTGAAATATTTTTAATGTCGATGTGAGTTTGTAATCCAGCAAATCTGCATCTGGACTCTGGAGTCGTTGCTGTAATTTACCTGGTCAGACCACTGATTTATTGTTAGTGCGCCGATATCGCCCTCTAGAGGATGAAGCGGTTCATGTACAGCGGTTTACCTCTGGAGGCGCACAAGAAAATACATTCATATACCAGCTATATCAGACATGACATACGTTTTATTTATGTGACATGAAATATGTCAAAAAACTATGTCAGATACGATTTTTTTGACAGGATCATTACGATTCATTACATCACATTTGTATCACAATTAAGCACCCTCCGTTTGTGAAATACTGTTAAGTAGGGCTATTTAAGCCTACGCTGTAAAGTATGTATTCATTACAGTAGTATTTGTCCTGCAGTTAATTTATGCTGTTTAAAAAAAACATTGTATTAGATTAAGAGGGGCGGTGATGTAATAACATGAAAATAATGTCACTCTTTATGGCCTGAGTAAAAAACATTCCGTGTGACCATATAATTTAAATAAAATATCTCTTTCCAGTAGGCTTTACTAAACATGTTCTTTGATCTCGAGATCCGAACGCTTCTGACGACAAATAGCTCCGCCCATTTACATAATTGGCGCGAGCATACAGTTCACTCATTAGCGAAGTCACTTGAAATAGACAGTTGAAGACAGAGAACCTGTAGAGATTGAGGGATGAGCAAACATTGACAAAGACTAGAGGACGAGAAAGGTTTAAGAGTAAAACCGTCCTCCCTTACTCCCAGTTTTGATGATCAAAAATACAGGCCCATCCGTCTCACTGACAAAAGGTAAGCAATTGTTTTTATTGCATCATGATTGAAACGTGTGTAAATATATTCTGATACTCAAAGAATAATGTTGTGTTTGACTATTGTAGTCGATGTCTCTGGCAAATGTACAATACTTTTAGCATAGTATCCATATCATCTCGTGGAACAATGATTTACTGCTCATTACCATGGTAATATCAATGTTTTTCTAAAACAAAATGGCGATACTCAAAGAATAATGTTGGCTTTGGCTATTGTAGTCGATGTCTCTGGCAAATTTACCATACTTTTAGCATAGTAACCATATAATTCCATATCAACTCGTGGAACAATGATTAACTGCTCATTACCATGGTAATATCAAGGTTTTTCCAAAGCAAAATGGCATTTGTAATGGGAAAGTAATAGTAACCAGGTTGCAGGGGCGTAGAATTTAGTAGGGACGCTAGGGACGTGTCCCTACCAATATCCAGTGACACTGATATATCCCTAGCAATAATTTCGATCAAAACTTAAAATATCCACGTCTGAGTGTCCCCGTCCCCACCAATTTAAAAATCAAACCTACGCCACTGCCAGGTTGTATCACAGTTAGGGATGTAACGATTCACTCATCTCACGATGCGATACGATTCACGATACTTGTTTCACGATACGATTTTCTCACGATTTTTTTAACAAATGAGATTTAAGACAAAAGTGTCCCTTTTATTATTTCTCAGACAAAATGCTGCCCATTTCTTTTTAATTTAAAATATATTTGTCAAATAAAACTACATTAAAAAAATTCCCTTCAAGGTTGTTTCAACTCAGTCTTTCTGTCTGTTTGGTCAAGAGGCTGGACACTGGTAACGTTACCTTCGCACACTATGTAAAAGACTGTCTAAAATTAGTACCAGATTGACAGGGGTTTTACATTGTAATAAAGGCAAGATTCTAATTTTGTTATAATTTGTATCATTACACTAGTAAGAGTTAAAAAAACACATTTAGAGAAAGAGATAGTAAAATAAATACAACACCTGGTTGTCACAGAAACACCGATTCACCTTGTGATCTCCGTGGCTCTCGCAATTGTCGTATTAATGACTTTTACATGAAAACGGAGGTGACTGGTGCTTCTCACGGTGGTGATTATTATTAGTCAACGGAAAGTCAAAATGCCGCCACACCTCCGATTTGAATGAGTCAACGTCAGCATCTACGCTTGCCGTCGCCATGTCTACTGTTTGACGGCGCGTGCACACCAGTCTATGGCACACACTGGCGCGGCGCGAGCAAAGCAAACCGAGCGTTTTCAGTTCATTCCTATGGAAGTTGAGCTTGGCTCACACAAGATCAAGTTTCATGAATGAAGTGAAAACACTCGCTAGCTTCACGCCAGTGTGTGCTCGCTGCTATTGTGCCTGTAAAGCGAGGTTCACAATCACAACTTCACAGTAGGCTATACAGTAAACGCGCCCTGCTATTTAAAACGTGTATCGCGATTCGTTTAACATTTCAACCGACTTGAATCGTCACACATTTTTATCGATTTTCAACCGGTTGCGAGTGAATCGTTACATCCCTAATCACAGTTGTAATAAAAATGAAGTAGGTTCATTGCCCAAAAGATTCAGCATCTACTATAATTCCATCGAAATTTCAGAGTTAATAACGTTATTGTAACTACAAAAACCATGATGAATTTCGCCTGAAGGTGTCACATGGCTGAAACAGCATATCAGGATCAGTAACACATTTCTTCAGTAAGGTAGACTATTAGATGAGGGTGGAAAACAAAGACTTTTATTATTGGCTGTGCAGTTTAAGCCTCCAATCAACAAAAGCTATGATTCTATAAGTTAGAGAAACTATTTCACTTGCTGATGAGTGTCTGTCATATAACCTTTTCTGCAAGAAGGTGTAATCCAAGGTAGGATCCTTAGACACGACAAACAAAGTGCTCTCTGATGTCTTTTAATACCTGTAAAACTGAACCTGTCTTTCCACGGTGCTTGTCATTAAGGCCACAGATGATCAGCCTGTAACTCTCCCACACTCACTGCAGTCTTACAAATCATAATCGGTTCCTTTCTCTTCAAATGTTACTAATTTAAGGGAAATTTGCCTATTATAAAACAAAAATAGAAACATTTTCTTCCAAAGGAAAAAAATGCATTTTGATTCACAACAGCATCTCAATTCCTGAAAATATTAAACATCTTAACAAATGTTGCAAGTGGTCACCAATGTCACCCTAGTATGGCTCAAATAACAAATACAGGCTGTTGATTTGGACAGAAGTGTTGAAAGGTTTGAAAGGCACTAACATGGCTCCACTTCTTCTGTCTTGATATACCTGAGACTCAATGCTGATTGGTTAGCACCAGGAAAGAGAAGCTTGAGAAAGCCAGATTCCAGTTACTGAAAAATCAAACAAAAAGGAAACAATCCATTTATCACAGAAAGGCTGAGAGCATGTGGAATCTGTAGGGTCTTCATTAGGCCATGGTCGGATTTGAACAGAGTACAGACTGTATGTGTATTCACACCAGTTGTCAAACACTGTCCAGGAAGGGGATTCGCCAGGGATTGGTCCTCCACAGAACACATCTGTGCAGCTAGCAAAAGGAAAGTCTCTGAAATCTTGTCAAGTCCTCCAATTGATTCCTCAGTTGTATTGGAGAATAGATGCAAACACAACATATGAGATGATGTGCATAGGCCAGAGGAACATATGCAAAACACCCACAAAAACTAGCAGACACACATTCACACACACTCAAAAAGGTAATGGATAACAGATGGCAACCAGAATCCTTGATAGTGATATAGCCCTATCCATATGTGCACACATGCGCACGCACACACACACACACACACACACACACACACACACACACACACACACACAGGCCATTGCATAATAACCATCACAAACATCCATCCTCTATTTTTGTTCCACAGTCCTGAGCAGCTTTACGTTTAGCTTATGAAAATCAGTGTCTGCCTTTTTTTAAATAGACATCCCAGTGTTGGAGAGAGTGTACACCCATCAGCGCTGCCCTCCCACAATGCATTGCTACTGCCCAGTCTGAACCGAGGAGTTCAAACCCTGTCCTTTTCCTGTCCTTCTGGCTTTTCACCTCAACCCTTCTGCTTCTCCCCAGAAGTTGTGATCTCATGCAGACACATTGACGTCCCGCAGGGCGATGGTCCCGTTGGCAGGGGGGTCTGTGGCTGAGGAAGGGGCAGAGGCTGGTGATACGAGTAGAGATGGCGCTGTGCTGGTGTTGAGGGCGCTGCTTTGAAACAGTATCTGCTGAAGCGTCCTCCGTAGATTAGGGTGCAAACGGGCCTGAGTTTGATAAAATACCTCCACAGCAAAACACTTCATCACTCCTCCGCACAGATCCTCATAAAGAGGCACTGTGTACATCCTTGAGGTCTAGAAAGAGAAAAGGAAGAGGAAAGTTAATAGACAACCCAGTGCTAAAACAGACTAAATAAGACATTTATTTTCCATAAATACAGTGCCCCACTACTATTTTAAAACAACACAACAGTAAGTTCAAGTCAAAACACCTCAGTAAAAGTAGCACAAAAAACCCTACATGTTACTCACACTTCGCACCAAACTCGTTTTCTATTCAACTGCGCTACTTTTCCATTGTTTTTCAATGTAAACACATGTTAGAAAGACGTCTTTAACCGTTGAGCTCGCATCTCGCACATTACACAGCATTTTAAAAGCACGGCGCTCAAGTTAAAAGTAAAAAATGCGTCTCTAGACCTTGCGCTTTTTTTTCGTTCCACTGACCTGAGTCTCGCATTTTTAACAGCAAAAACGCGTTCTGTGTGAACCGGCCCTGACAGAACTCTGACAAGTATCCCTTAAATATGTTATCACCTTTGTGTGATATGCTAAAGCTTTAATTCATGTGAGGCTGTGTTAAGCCCCGTACACACCGGGACGAATATCGGCGCGCGTTATTCGTCAGCGTTTTTCAACGCGTTTTTTGTGTTCACACCCAAGCGATTTTCGCTGACGATGAGTCGAGTGAACATGCAAATTCATTCCCTGACATTAGATGGCGCTTAATGTAAAACAGAAATAGTCCTATTTTGTAGTCGCTGTCGCGTTTGTCATAGTTCTTTATGTTCAGACACCAACGAGACCAGCAGCTCTACATTCATCTTGCCTCGCATCTTCCTTGTCTTATTTCTTCCCGGCAGTGTAGACCATAGATATCCATAATAAAGGCCATATTTGGCCAGCAGCGCGGACGAGACATCTAGCCTTTATCATGGATATCTATGGTGTAGACGCTACTTGGCGTATATCTTCTTCGCCGTTACGTATGTGTGCTCAGCAAGACCGTTTTGTGTTTGAGCGCCCCCAAGTTGTGTTTTACTGTAACTTCAGAAGCTCCAGACACGTGAGCAAAAGCGCCAATCCCATTGGTCGGATAGTTTTTGACGCGGCGCGTCAAACCAAAAAAACCAACCCAAGGTGTTTTTAAAAAAATGAAGCTTTTACGCGTGGCGTTTTTCGCGTCGGTGCGCACACTCACATAGGCGCCCTTTGTTTAGTCACGAGGCGTTAAACGTCGGCGAAATTCGTCCCGGTGTGAACAGGCCTTTACTGTGACTTTACAACCAAAAAGGAGTGTTTGTAGGTATGCAAAGAGTAGTGCCTAAAACACACAACAAAAAATATTTTTTAAATATTTACTGTAGCAAACTGATGTGCGGCGGTCAAAGTTAAGTGTATATCTTTAAACACAGCTCATCCAATCAGAATGTAGTGTTAGAACTATGTGTTTTATATCTCCACTTTGGAGGTTTATTTTATGCATTTCAAATTAATTGTTTGATGTTACCAGATCATGGTAAGGGGATTTCATAAACTAAATACAATCTCTGAAGTTGAACTGTAACCATGCTTGACACAATACACTTTAGAAAATGGAAATCAATACAGCATCCTTTTTATGAAGCAAAGGAAGAAACCAGCCAAACTTGTTGTGATTGAGCACATCTCTATGCAGCTCAGAAATGAGACATGACGTCATAAGCAGTCACTAGTCAAAGACTAGCCAAGAGTGTTCATTAGGAACACTGGAATGTGGATTCCCTTTAAGGAAAACTCAGTTTGTACTGAGTGGAGGAGTGAGGGAGAAATTGAGAGAACCAGTCCCTAGCTTCATATGGCGCTTTTCCACTGCATGGTACGGCTCACTTTTGGGGGGTTCTAAGCGAACTGTACCGATACTAAAATGTGACGTGTAAACACTGCAGATCACTGATTGGTCAGAGAGAATCGTCACTACTAGCATCATTGGATTTGTGACACGAGACACCAAACTCGCTTGATTTAAGTAGTCAGCAACAGCCACCGTAGTATCATTTGTTCACACAACTTTTTTAAACTACTTGCTTTAAATGACCGTCGCACGCAACTTGAAAAAATAAATGGCTGTATCGTGGCCAGTAGACAAGGTGGCGGCGCAACTATAACGGTTTGTCTATAATCCCACCCACTTTGAAATTAGGGCTGTGCGATATGACGATATATATCGGATGGACGATATAAAAAGCCTATCGTTTCATATTATGCCATATCGTTTATATCGTGGTGTCGCAAAAAAACATTGTTTACGGCAAAAATTTGGATGACTGCAATCTTTCACGCCACATGGGGATGCAGGCAGAAACGTGAATAACAGCATGAATGAAGGGGTGACAGAACCGGGTGTTTCCGAGCAGGAGAAGAACCAGCCAGAACAAACCGAGGAGCTCGTTCCTAAACGAGGGGCTAGATGGTTTGGTTAACTTTCTATTTGTTGTATTGACCATTTTAGGGTGGTTTGGATAAATAAACGCCAGTCTCAAATAGAGGCCTGGTCTGTTTTTTAGTTTCGGTTTGTATTTAATCTTCTAAAACCCGTCAGATCGTCTGTTTAAACCAGTTCTGTGGTGCAGATTGCGCGCATCTGGGCGGAGTTGTTAGCGCAAGCAGAGTTAGCGGAGGCCGGAGAGAGAAGGAGATCGTTTTACAGGGTATAGCCTTCATTCTTTCTTGTTGATGTGTTTCGGGCAACAAGTTCATAGGCTCGATGGATATTACCAGTAATGTATTGTTCAGCCCATGGCTGTCACATCGTTTCGTTTTTTTTTAATTCTGCCAATAATCTAAAAGCTATGGTTATATTAAATGTACAATTATCGTTATGTATATACTGACTTCACCCTGTGCTGCAACATACATTTAGTTGTACATTCATTTACAGAAATCAGCTGGTTGAATTCAAATTGATGCTGTTATCGGATTTTCAGGTGATATTCCCAATTCATTCAGTTAACGGACGCTCTGAGGTAAAGTGTTCAGACTGCAGACTAAGCAACGATTGTATTTAATTGTACAGTACTATCATAACATAGTACAGACATGATCTTAATTCCATAATGTCCTTAAACATAACAATTTGCTGGCCATAAACTGACAGCGCGCGTCCGGTGTGCGATACCTCGAGTTGCTATAGACACGGCGCGCGCGCTTCTCGTCCGGTGAGCGACCCCCTTTAGACATAATAAAGTAGCCTAGGCTAATTCTTAGATTAACGGATTTGTTAAACACATTTATAAATAAAACGTAATCTTCGTTATCTCTAGGCCTACACTAAATTAAAGGCCTGTCTCATAGACGCCTGCCTCAAATACAAGCCGGTGCAGTTCGGCGATTTGGGAAAATAAAAGCCCGGGCTATTATTTGATGTTTTACAGTATATCGTGATATATATCGTTATCGGGATATGAGATGACTTCTATCGTGATATGAGATTTTGGTCATATCGCCCAGCCCTATTTGAAATAGTACTAAACTGCAGCGGAAAAGTAAAGCGAGCCTAGCCGAGTCATGCTGAACCATGCAGTTGAAAAGCACCTATAGTGTTTGTGTCCTCTAAACACAGGCAAAACAAGATACTGACTTGCTTTAACTCGGCTCACTATCATCAGGCCACACTAAAGAATCTTAAAATCAATATGGACATGGTAACTGATAATGTATTATCAGTTACAGTGCAAGAGCCACTTCATTCACAAAACTCACATGTTTATGCAAGAAGCTGCGGACTCGAGGCAGATCAGGATAAAAGCTGTTCCGCACTACAACCTGCAGCCATCGAATCTGGACTTCAGCGTTCATACCGTCCAACATTGCAGAGTAGCAGCTTGACAAAAGACTCATCACCTCTGAAAGGCCAATCACACTTCACATTACAAGAGAAGTGTCTAACATCCAAGCAACCAAGTGCATGCTAAAATAAATGTATACAAATTGCGGGAATGATTCATAATACCTTGAGGCAGAGGTGAGCGGTCTAGAAGTCGATCCATAAAGAGGACAGTCTGAAAGGTGCTCCAGGAGGAGAGGTCAAATGTAGCAATCACTTGGGGGTCGGGGGTGTCTGTGCCCCAGAGGTCACACAAGTGCTGAACAGGACCAGTTAGAGCTCTACCCGCAGAGAGATCTGGTTCACATAACGGCGGACCACAGCCATTTAGCCATCGCTCAAATTCCAGTCCTGAGCAAGAAGGGAAGCAAAGGGGAAGGACGAAGGAGGGGAAGAAGTGTCACATTTCTGTTTATTTAGCCTCCGTCTCTCGTACTGCTAATGTTGCTTTGACCCCTCACTGGGTATTATGACTGGCTCAACAGGGAAATTCCTAACCGAGGACAAATGGAGCGCAGTGAGATGAGTAACTATAAGTGTCTCTGTGTGTTAATCATCATCTCTGACAGTTGTCGCAACTCACCCTCTCGTTGAGCAACGCAGCTCTCCTTCAGCTCAGGGAAGAAGCCAAGGAAGAAATCCAACAGATCCTGAGCGATTACGCTGGTGAATCTGAACTTCTCAATGTAGGCCTACACAGTGCATGGTGGAAGGATTCAGAACATTCATGTGTGCATGTGGACTATGCCATTTATGTGAATGTTTGTCATGTTTCTTACCCTAAGAAAGCTATCAAATCTCTTAATGTCACCACACAGCTGTGAGAGGTAAGAAACAAAGCAGAAGCCTTTCTCATAGGTGAACAGATTCATTAGACTGCTGGGGTTTACACCTTTGGAGAAAGAGAAAAAGGAAAATGGATAACTTGGTACTTTGACCCAAGATTCATGGGTCTGACACTTCGCAAGCACATAATAAATACTTGGGCACGTTTTCCAGACAGGCTGAACTTTGCAAATGAGGATTTTCCTAGCTTCTGTCGTTCTGAAATCTGAGTAACAAGGAATTTTAGATGCATTTACCATACAGCTATTTCAGGTGTGTGGTAAAATCACCATATGGCTTTTAGCCTAAAAGAGCTGGTTTATATTGTTAAAAAGGTTGTACCTGGCTCAAATTTGGCCTGCAGTTTACTGACAGGATTGTTGTCTCCAAGAAGACGCATCTGTCTGTGAAGAGCATCTAGACGGAACACTGTCTCAAGGCAAGTGAAGGCTTCTCCTGAATCAGAGAATTGAGGAGATAAGGAGAGCATTGTGGGATATAAGCCTATATGTGAATCACTGCACACTGAGGTTTTGCATTTGCTGGCATTTTTGTGGAAGCCCACATGTGTCTCTATGTTTGGACTGTGAGGATGTGTATACCATAGGCCTCTGTGGTAATGCGCCTCTGAGCATAAGTGGCCAGACCCTCACTGAGCCACATCTCTTCCCAGGTAGCATTGGTGACTGCGTTCCCAAACCAGCCGTGAGCAATCTCATGGATGACATCAATCAGCAGAAATTCCTGACTCTCCAGTATGGAGGAAATTATGAAGGTAAGACAAGGATTCTCCATGGCAACGATGGGGAATGAAGGAGGAAGGAACACTATGTCGTACCTGTAAAGAGTGAGATAGGTTAAGGCCTGAACATGACAAGAGGCTTGATGTGACCAGGCGAAAAAGACTGATATGACTGAGAAGAATAGAACTGACCTTCCCCATACATAAGGGCCAAAGAGTCCCTCTGCCACATTAAGCCAGCGCTCCACACTACCGCCCAGTTTACTGACCGCACACGTCAGGATGCAGGGCTCTGCCCACACACGACTCCTGAAAGCAAAGATAGTGTGACCGAGGTATAGCAATGAACAATAATGAAAATCCTGCTAAGACCAGCATTTCCAGACTGGTTATGCTGGATAGTACTGGTGTGGTTCTAATCTATCTGATGAACCAGCATAGCCATGCAGTTAAGTTGGTCAACCAGAATGTTTTTTTCTGAGAACCATGTTGACCAAGGTAGCACCTTTATGCTGATAAAGCTAGTATGTGGTCTTGCCAGTTAACTTCATTTGAGCAGCCTATTTGATACAAAACTGCATTTAGCAATCTCCAAAACAACATATGCTGGTATCTAGCTTTTCTGTTCTTTTCAGAAGGGATACTTCAACTGTACCTTGGCCCAATATCTGCATGCTGTAGGTCTCCTGCCACCAGGGCGACCAAGTAGGCTGGGACAGGATACTCCATGGAGAACTGGAAAACCCTGTCCTGTTTAGAGTATGCACTTCTTGAGGCACTCATCAACACTGTGACACCCTCTGGTACCTGTAACGCAAACACATACATCCACAAACAAGAGATCCGCCCCCTGAAAAGTATGTCACACTTATACAATACACATGATCTAAAAACAAAAATTAACACAGAATGCCAACAAAGATATTTTAGTGGATCTGAGCAGCTTAAGACTTACTCTGACAGTGGCAGAGTAGGTGCTTTTGACGGCCGGTGTGTCAAAACAGGGAAAAAACGACCGGTTGCAGACCGAGTGACCCTGAGTGAAGACCAATGGTCGGGTTTGTCCGCATGTCAACTCTGCATCCAGCCACCAAATCTGATATAGGGACCAGGGAGCAATGAGATGAGAGAATACCTTTGACAAATGTTCTCTGAGAGAAGAGCTTTAAATGTGCAAGTGATTCAAGATTAAAGTAACAAATCAAATTTTCTTAGGGTTTCTCATATTTGAATAAAGTTTCATGGTTTATAGATATCTGATCTCATTTATTTCATTATATTGTTGCAGTGCTATTGGTGAAGCAGTTGTGAATCCAAACTTAAGTTCTTGATGAAGTTGAAAAAGACAACTACCCATATACAGGTGAGCAGCTAAAAATTCCCATGCTTTTTGGGTATATTATGCCACTAAAATGACATGGTGTAATCCAAATCTCAGCGATGAGAGTGACCTGATAGCCAGAGGCCAGTGTAAGAAAGCTTACAGAAGTTTCCCTTGCTCTATAGAGTGGTGCGTGGATGACGTATTTTTGTAGGCCAACCCAGAAGTTAGCATCACCCTGGTTCCCTCTACAAAAACCAAATAGGATTTTTCCATTGGCTTTTGGATTATTGCAGAAAATAAGGTCTGTGTGACCAACAAAAGCTTATGATTCTTGCACGTTTTGTTCATTATAATTATGTTCACAAATGAACACAATTTTTATGAATTGCAAATACAAACGGCAGAAGTCAACAGCTCAAAGTAGGCTTGGGCTATAAATGAACTACACCCCTGTCACTCAACTTCAGCGTCACCATAACTAAGCTTTCGATTGCTCATTCAGTCTTTGTTTAAAAACATTTTACCTGAAAGTTTGAGTTATAATAGTTTGCAAGAGCGCAATTATAAACACAACCAGGCTGTGAAAGCGGACTAGTTAGTAGATGAGTTTACCTGTTCGGCTGATGACCTTTAATGTCTCACAACCTCAGTAGTCCCATTTAGCCACTTGTTAGCAACTGCCTTTTACAAGACAAGTTAAAAAAAAAGAAATCACAAGAGGGTATTACTGATATATGTTATATCGTAGAATAAAACGTGAAAATCTTTTGAGCTTGTGTTCACCGCAGACCTTATTTTAAGCATTTAACCAAAAATCCACTGACTTCAGGACGATGGAACCGAAGGGCTAAATGCTAACTCGTTTCAGGGTTTTGACCTACAGAAATACTTCATCCCTGCACCACTCTTATTGGCCAGTGCTGTGTTAATTTTGATATTTAATGTGTTTTTATACATTACAAACTTTTTTATTTGGTTCTCTGTGATGTGTTGAATATTGTTGTTCAATTTGTTAAGAATTATGCTGATTTTTTAACTGTTCACCAAGACAATGTTGTTATTTAGCTGGCCATTATAGGTGAGGTTTGATTAAAATTGTGATCATATCTTGTTTTGGAAACATCAGTGAGAATAATGTTTTGCTTTGCTGGGTTAAAAAAAGACTTTCCCAAGAAACATGTTTGTTATGCTTACAAATTATAGCTGTAGTTTTTGACTTGCAAATTAAAAACGTTGTGTTGAATTTTATTAAGTAAAGAAAACTTTCTGGCACATATACAACTACTCTGCTAAAAGCCTGTGTTGTTAGAGTCTATTGAAGACATTCAACAGAGTGATACAAACTGAAAAACAACACTAAAGGAAGCACATTAGGTTTAAAATGAACCCTCTCTGTGCAAGTGGGCAATGAGATGTACAGGTTACAGTATAAATAACATTAAATGGGTTTGTTTTTGTAATCAACACAGACAGCTACCAATTTTTGAAGGGTTAGTTCACCAAAAAAGTTCACCCTAGGTGTATATGACTTTCTTCTTTCAGCCAAACACAATCAGAGTTATATTATAAAAATATCCTGGTGCTTCCAAGCTTTATAATGGCAGTGAATGGTACCTTATTTTTTGAAGCTCCAAAAAGTGCATCCATCCATCCATCATAAAATTAATCCAAACGACTCCATGGGGTTAAAAAAGGCCTTCTGAAATGAAGCAATGTGTTTTTGTAAGACAAATATACATATTTATAACTTTATAAACTAATCACTAGCTTCCGGTAACGGCAGTACGCAAGTCTAGTTCCGGCAGAAGAGTGACCTCTGACCCGACGCATGACCTATGATGTAGGAGTAGCGAAAGCTTAGGTGAGAGTAGACGCCTCTCACGGTTCAAACTAATAGAGCTGGGCAACAAACTCAAGCTCCTCCCATATTTTCTTGAAAAGTTCTTGTTTTAGACTTCTAATTCGTGAATTACCAGTGTTTTGTTTTGCTCTATCCTCTGCGTTCAGCGTTCGTCAATACGTCGGGTCAGAGGTCACTCTTCGGCCGTAAACTCACATACGGCCGTTACCGAAAGCCAGTGATTATAGTTTATAAAGTTATAAATATGGACATTTTTCTTATAAAAACACTTCATGTCAGAAGATCTTTATTAACCCCTTGGAGTCTTATGGATTACTTTTATGATGGATGGATGAATTATGCAATAATTTTCATTTTTTGCACTGAAGCATGTTTAATACAGCCCACCTTCCAGTAATTACATCATGCAGTCATAATCATGACCTGGATAACTCTAGTTATCTACTTAAGGGGACATGTCACTACACTGAGGTCATTCTTATCAGTAGCTCCAGAACAGTCACTGTGCTTTATGTTTACAGGTATCTGATAAATAAACAGGGTGATTTCACAAGCACGTGACAATACCACAAAACCTATTTAATCTGGCGAAACAAGGCATAAAAACGAACGTGGCAGAAAGGGTGATTATCAACATTAAGGTTCCACTGCATGGGTATTTTTAGTGGATGATTTTGGCTCTGTGTACAATAGTCCTGTGCAACAAAGTTATTATTAGCGTGTATCGTCAGCTGTCACCGCGTTGACCTTACCGCAGGGCCGTCAGTGGTCGTGTAGCGGATGGTGACACGGAAAGCCCGGTGAGGCCGGTTCACCGCGGCCGGGAGGCTGATGTTCAGAGAGGATCCGTAATCGGTGAACGGTTCTACTCGGTAGGTGAGGGACATAAACACGTCAGGAGCACCGGACACGCCGGGCACCTTACAGTCCACGGAATGAATTAATAATGAAGGATGCGTGTCCAGAATGAGAGATTGGACGCCGGGCTGGACGGGCGTGAGCTCCAGAACCTGCCATCCCGTCATCCTCTTGACGGCGAAGTTCAAGTGAAGGTCCAGGTGGAAATGTCGGAGTTTAAAGCTGTGGAAGTTGGACGCTGACGCGACGTCCACCAGGCGACAGTGAGCCAGACTCCGGCCGCCCTCGCAGGACTTACCGGGCACGGTCAGCACTTTGCGACAGCAACACAGCGTCGGCCGCTGGAGCTCGGCCATCGCAAAGTTTGGCTAATAAATAACAGTTATCCGGTAACGTGACGATAACGTGAAACTTTACACGCGGCGAACGCGCACGGATATCGGCGAAAGATAGATGAACAAGCGATCGAGTTAGTTACATTGTTGCTGGAGTTAAAGGGGCGGTCGACACTCCGCCGAGGAGGAAACCGAATGCAAGAAATGATAATAAAACGGACGGGAAGACAGTAAAAGGCATTAAAACAAAACGCAAGTCTACGTAAAATCCATTAGAGCCGTAGACACGACTGAGTCCAGCCCTCCGACCTCCATCTAAAGCAGAATATATGTGTGAATGTCCCGCGGTCGATACGGCTTGCGTTCCGTCTCGAGAGGCACGGAGAGATCGGTGGAAACTACCGGTAGAGGAAGAGACGCACAGTGAAGCCCTGATGAGCAGAAATGAGCTGAGTTAAGTGACTCCCTTAGAAAACAGGAAGTAAAAACAAGGGAGGAAATCACTTCGAGACGGGAAAGTTTTCGAGCTGCAGGGGGGCGCTGCGGAGCTCCTGTCCTGATGAAAACACGATCCACCAGTGCTCAAATGGCTGGAAAACAACACAACACTGTTTTACAGTTGCTCTGTGGGTACAATGTAGCTTTTATGAGTACTACCGATAATAACAATGACCACAGCCCTACATTAGGAATGATGTTGCATAGGGTTAAACCTAGCTAACTAGCAATGCACAAATATTACAATTTTGGCTAATAGCCTACTGATAAAACAACAATAATTTTCATGTTATGGCCAGTAACCGATAACAGTAACAGCTGACATTAAATTGTTGTTAAAAAAAAGTTATCTTTGCTTAAAACAGTGTTATTAAAATAGAGCAGGGGTCTTCAACCCTGCTTCAGGAGGCAGGTTACAGGATATGATTACATTATCCTCGTCTAAAGCTCTCTATTAGATGAGGTAAATGCAATCTAAATGTAAAAATAGGAAAAATTACCATGCACAACCAGCTGGTTATCTAAACGGCATAGAGATTGCACTGAATAAGATATTAAATGATGTTTGCTTAAATACTCATTCTGGCAAAATTGCAATGTTGGTTTTACTATAGAATAAGTGCTGTACAATACAATACAATATACTGTAAAAACAAAAGGCTGGACTCTCTGAGACAGTGCTTAGATGGGTGATATTTATAAGGCAGGGGAACTTTGTGAACATTTATAATTCTAACAGGGCTATAGCATGAAAAAAAGTTCCACAAGTTTCAATCCTTGTGCCTATTCAGTGTTCACAAGCACTACTGTTCAATTTGTTATATGCTCCCACTGTGCCATATAATTCAGAACAACAATATTGCTTATCACAATCATTTCTAAAGTCAATCGTCAAAAACACTGATAGATCGGTCTTCTTCAGCCCTGTTGTGACTTCGGTCCCATAGACTCCCTGTGCCCGTGCAAAAATTAAATGAACAGCTGCATATACCAAGTTAAATAAAGAGAGACAGAGGTCATTGTATGTGGCAATAAAGATAACATATCAAACATGAATGCATACCTTTACTTCATGGGTCTATAAACTAAAAAGGAAGTCAGGAGTCTTGGTGTCATTCAGGAATATTATCTTAGTTTCAGAAGCCATATAAAAGCAATAACTAAATCAGACTACAACCAGTGGTGGGGGTAATAAATTAGAAGTAATATGAGTTATAACACAAATATACTTGATGTATTTAATCTCATATTAGCCAATGTCAATTGCAATCTAATGGCAGCAGAGCTGAATGGTTTGTTTGAGCTGAAGCCTCTACTCTACAGGCGTGAATGTGCATTTCCTTCAGCATGAGGCTTATTTGTTTAGCTGTGAAAGTGTCTTTACATTTGCCAAAAATAGATTTTTTTTTTAAATTACAAAACAAGCAAGCCCAGCCCAGGTGAGAAAAAGTAATGTAATGCATTACTTTGCACTAAGTAACACAATTAGTTACTTTTTTAGGGAGTAACACAATATTGTAACACATTAGTTTAAGTTTCCCCTACACTGCCATCTAAAAACATAGCATGAATCAGATCCTTTTCCCCCAAACAAGACCTAGAGAAGCTTATTAATGCATTCATTACCAGCAGGGTAGAAAAATGAATTTGACTTCTTACTGGCCTTCCCTGGAAGACTATTAGACAGTTGCAGCTAATTTAATACAAAACTGCTGCAGGCACCATGGAAGCCAAAAGATTGATCACATCACACCATTCCTCGGCTTGGCTTCCAGTTTCATCTCAAAGTAAAGTACTTTTAATTGTATATAATTCCTGTAATGGCCTAGGACTCAAATACCTTGCGGATATGCTAGAATAACCTCGAATTCACTTAAAACATGCCGCAGCTGGAACAAGCTTCCAGAAAATGTAAGGGTGCCCAATGGTAGCTACTTTTATTCATTTCCTTTGTAACTTTTTAAGACTACAATTTTTTTCAAATAATTTTTTAATGTAAAACACTTTGAATTACCATTGTGTATGACAAGTGCCTTGCCTATGGATCCCAGACTATGTAGTTCAATACCTTGAGCAGGACATTTACTTAAGAATAGTTTAAGAATATTTCACCTGAAATGAAAATTCTGTCATCCGTTTGACATTGTGTGGCTCGTACATACAGTTTTTGTCCATGGAACATCAAATAGTTATCTAGCTTGCCATTTTCAATACAATGAAAGTGATCAAATACCCGTGGTATTAAGTTCCACTGAACTTTATGCTTCAAGTGACATGAGGGTGATTAGATGATACATTTTTGGATGAACTATTCCTCATTATTTTGCCCAAGGAACAGTAGTAATAGTTAGTGAATCACATTATGTATGGTGTCTGAAACTATCCCATTAACCCCAGGTTTTTCTAGAGGGACTGTTAGTGTCTGTTAAATGAATAACAATATTCTACTACAATATAGTCTTGTTACAATTGGTCGGCACATATAGTGATATGATACTGTGTTCAGTTAACATGTCCATTTGACACAAGTGTCATCCTGCCTTTCACTATGCAGAGGTGTTTGTGAAGGAACTTAGTTTATAGCTTATGTACTTTCTCCTAAGGTACAAGCACTTCATACAGTCAATAAGATATCAAGTCAAAAAGAATGAATGTAATATTTTAGACATTTTAATAAAGGGCTCATTCATTGTATGACTCAAGTATATCAAACTTTCTTTGGGTCGTTGTCACCCTCAGAAATTGTAATGTTCTTTCTTTTGCAAAAATGTATTGGATAATTATAAGAAATGGCTGAGGACTGAGAATAAGTGAATCTATGGGAAAGCACATGGATTATTATTTGACTAAAATTACCTTCTATAGTCATTGGGATATCTCTCGCATTTTTTATTAGAGTTAATCCTCTCTCAGTAATCCAGAAACATAGACACAGAAAGGGTAAACCTAAAATAAATTTATTGAGACAGCGGAGAGCGTACGCTCTCCTGCTCTCTTTCCACCCTTTTCACAAGGCAATTAAGAAATCATGCTAAGGCTATGGAAAGAAATGGAAATGACACTGACATTTTCGCAGGGTCTGATGAGGGAACGAGGGTCTACAAAATCAGATTCCCCTTCATACAGACCGCAAATGAGCATCACAACCTGATTCGGAAGGTCCATTCAGCATGATCTCTTTGCACCAGTGTTGTGATAGACAACGTAACACACATGAAAACAAAAAGCCCGTTCAGATTACGCTCGATGAGCATCTTTTTTGGGACAAAATCAAAACAAATTCAGAGACCTCCTACTGAGGCGAACTCTTCTGTGGATACAAAGTGCAAAAACAAGCCAAAATGAGAAATGCTTTCATACATAAAAGAGCAAAAAAAAAAAAAACACTTAAGAGGAAAAGGAACAGGCAAAAATGTTAACAGTGTAAATAGGCTAAAAAATATACAAAGGCCTCTTAGCTAAAGAAGACTGAATCCTTGGTGTGCCGAACAAGGATACAGTGAATAAGCAGCACTGTGTCTCTTAGAAGAGTCCCACGACCCAGTGCTCGTACAGCATCCTGTGCACAACATCACCTGTGCCAAAGTTTAGGGTTCAAGTCACAAGACAACATTTACACATGTACTGAAGACAGTCAAGTTGTCAAAAATATTAAACTGTAATGAAAGATGATACATCTGAATGTATATATATATATTACATAAATGTACAAAGACCTGCAGAATCAATACAAAAGGACTCTGCAACCACCTTGTAAATGTATATATATATATACTCATAAACAGAGATATGTCCTCTCTGTAAACACACCAGTTTGCATGAATTAAACTACATGAAAACTGATTTCCCCTCTCCATTATGTAAATATCATTACAGTATCAGTGTTTCTTGACCTAACCATTTAAACTGACAAGTAGTACATCTTAACAGGCATGCCCCTAATGACAGCCCATGAGTTTCATGGAAATACAATAATCTCCCTCCCCAGGTCCCTATAGGTTTGCAGGAGGGAGTAACATTGAAGCAGCAATGACTGGAATATTAATGGAGAATGTTCCCTTCAGTCCTCGGGAGTGAAACCTTGGCTCGGAAATCCTTTAGCCTCTTACAGAGATTTTGTTCTCCACCGCTGCCAGCATCGCACAGAAGCGAGAGTTTTCATTCGCCAAGAGCTTGGACGGCTCGTCAAATTCCACCACCTGGGTCAAAAAGAAGAAAGAATTTAAAAAAAAAAGAGTCGGTTTAACAGAGGAACCACAGAAAGAGGCTTCTTTCAACAAATACGTTTGAAGGAACCACGGAGCAATGGATTTCTTCCCACTAGGGCTGGGTGATACATTGAAGATTAGCAATGGTGTCTTCAAAGGCATGTCTGACTGTGTCTATCGGCAGAACCCTAATTGGCAATATTATCGCCATATCTTTGCTGACAAAGCAATATTAGGAAATATTGTGAATATGGCAAAATTGTTAAAAGTTTAGCTTATAAAAACAGTAAGCCAATTTCACCTGTTTTTCTGTCTCATGACTATGACAGCTGATAGGCAGATGCTTTTAAACACTCCTGTTCGTGTATGATCGCGGTCTGTGAACAGTGTCAGGTTTCTATGTACAATGTGTTTAACAGCGTTGAGCATTTTAGCCAATCACGGACATGTCTGATGAGCGTGTGAACACAATAGCCAATCAGAGGCATTTGAGTTAGTTCAATACCGCTCAAAACGTTCACTTGGACAGGGTTCTACACGAAGGCCAATCCTTTTGTTATAACAAAATGTAGACACTAAGAGATTTAGACAACTTCATTGATCATAAGTGCCGAAGTGATTGATAGCCTTATTGAATATTAAGGTAGTGCTCTTTGCTTGCGTTCTGTTTATAACCAATTTAATACAAGTTTAATTTTCATGCTGCTAGATACACACTGCAAAAGTACAGGATTGATTTTGAAATACTGGATTAAAGACAAAATTGAATTCGATACAGGTTTAAATTTGAAAATATGATGATTGACACTGATAACCATAGCAATG